TAAAGAAGTTTGGACAAATGTCACAGATACAAGATACAGAAACATACTTAATATTCCCTGCCGCCATGGTCTTTGTCCATAGAAGTCAAGCACTCCAGTTTGCGTTTCCAGGGGATCCGGATTGGGATATACCACAGAGGACTGTAAATTCAGCAAGTATAGAAATAAAAAAAGGGTTCATGTTTCATTTTAAAGCATTAAAAGTGATCTGATGCTCCAATACATATGCACATAAAAGAAGAAATTTGCTTTAAAACATACAACCTTTCTGGCCACCTGTATAAAAATAGTACTTCAGGAAACCCAAACATTTAAATACTACTCATTCAGTCTGACATCCTACTTTATTCACCTTTATTCATCTCAAACACTATTAAAGAACAACTGGGTAATCCTTTTTAAAACTAGTTCCTAACAAGATAATCCAAGAACAACAAATAAATAGCACCAATAGGAACAAAGGCATTTTTAAATAATCAGGACATGTCAGCTGGAGAGTAGCTACATATAATTAGCATGTATGTTTCATGGACTGCAAAGATCCATTTTCCATGCAACCCCTTCTGCCAGGTAAGTGTCAAAAAACCCAAAACAACAACCCCCCCCCACTGTAATACTAATGCTTTTGTTTCTCTGCTTCCTCTAAGTCACCAGATAGAGTGCACGTATAGAGAAATATACTGGCAAAACAAACCAGTAAGTTTTCAAGTATCCAGAGATCAAAAAAACGGTATACTTTCTACATAAGTATTTAAAAAACCATGTCAGAATTATCTGCAATAAACTAAAATCTAACACATTTGTTCTGCAGTAGCTTTTCCAATACGTAACAAATACCTGTAATGTTAGTAAGCACCAGAAAAAACACATACCTTTTCCTTGGATTTCATCTACATATTACAGAGTATTTCACTACCATTTGAGACTAAAACATTAGCTAATTTACTATCTGGTTACTTGCAAAGCATTTTTTCCCCTCCCAACTTACATCGTGGTTACAAAGCATACTTGCTAGTTGTTTCCGTTCCTGTGCATAGTAAGCTGCCTGCTGGTAATAGAAACCTGGATTCTGAGTTTGAATTGCTGTCAGTCCCAGCTTAATCGCTTCATCAAACAAGTCACCAAAAGCCTGAAACCTATTAAAAAAAAATTCATAACCAAGATTATGCACAGAACAGCAACTTGAACTGAAAGGTACACTTAAATTAAAAGTTCTGGTTAGTCTTAAGACAGATAATACTTCTCTGAACTTTTGCGTCTAAGCTCTGTGGCTGGATTTCTGGTCATACCCTGTTCATTCCCAGACAAAAGTGGTCAATAATCAATGCAAAACAGAATAACAGCATACAGTTTTTACAATCCAGTGTATCTCTTTCTTAGATAAAGAGCTCAGAATTTATATCTTGCTTAGACAAGTAAAACAGTGAACGTCACAAGTTCTTATAAGAACTAAAACAGAAATATTACTGAGCAAAAACATACTGTTTAGACATCCAGGCAGCATGCTCAAAAGCCAGTTCCGCACTTCCTATTTTTTTCTTGCACAAGTCAATATGTTTCCTGAACTGAGCAATTGCATCTAGTGGAGTGTTATGCTGAAAACAGAGGCGACAGATCTACAGGAAACAAAAATAAGAGGAAAAAATAACTGTGTTAGGCTGCTAAGGATTAGCTTTAACAGAAAAAAAACAAACACAAAACACACGCAACAATCAAACAAAAACATCACTCAAAAACCCCAAACTCATTTTACATATTTCTGAAGACCTCAAATAACATCGAAAACAGAGGGAGAAAAACAAATGTAAACCATAATCTACTACACCTGAAACCATGTGGTCCTCTATTTCAGCTAATGTTATTTTTCTTCCCCTTCTCCCCCAAGTCATCAATGGTAGAGTGCATAACGCATAGCCAAATTCAAGATGGAACTGCAGAGCCTCTAGGAAGATCATTATCTTTGAAGCCTGCAGTCTGCAAATGGAATTTGATGGAGTCCAACTCCAGGTTTACTGTAAATGGTGAGACAGTTTTGTTTTACCTAAAAGCCCCCAAAATATCACAGGAGTATGGTCTGATTCTTAAAGAGTTACTTTCCTCCTCCTAACAAGCAGGAACTGAACTATATTGGCTTAAGATTTGCAGGAAGACAAAAAATATTCAAGGAACAAGCAACCTTTGTTTTCATTTCCCCTGCACAGACTGAGAGTCAAAGAGTCTAGTCTTTCAGATGACTGCGTCTCAAATGAACTCCAGTCCTTCGAAATACTCTCAGACTTCATCTAAGGATCTTTTTTTTGTGTGGAATTCAGAAGTCTTTGCAAGTCTGAGTGTAATTGGTATTCCACTGATAGCTGTTTCTAATCCATCTCCGTAAAAGCAATATAAAACAGAACTTTCAAACCTTTATATATTAAAAATGTTAAAGTAAAGGTTGTCAAAGATTAGAATTACACTTGTTACCTTGTAATTTATAAATCCTGCCATGGTCTTGATTTCCAGCATGTTTGTTTCATGAGCCCTCAATTCATGCACAAGATTATAAGCAGTTCTGTAATTTCTAAGCAGGAATACTTAAGTTAGAGTTAAATCATACAAGATAATAAAATTTAAGAACAGGATTGCAACAGGAGAAAACAGCCTTCCAATCAGAGCGTTCTTCCCAGTGAAGAACTCACCCCTTACTTACATGTTGAAATAATTTTGCATTCAGGAAAATATTTATCATAGTCTATGGCTTAGTAGTAATTTGGGGTAGAGAGGGTAGAGGAAGATTAAATGAGTCTTACTTGAGAGCATTCTGTGTGTCTTGTTTCAGCTCACTGAAGAATGCTATTTTGAACTGGTGTCTAACAAATAAAAGCTGCAAAACACAACCAGCACACATCATTCAAACACATTCGAACATACCTGTTACTTACAAAGCAGATACAGGTGATAATTTCAGAGGTTTACACAATATAGCAGTTGACTTGAAAAACTGACCGTGCAACTGTTTCCTAATAGTTCTTTCTGCCACCATGATGCAGCAGTGATCTTTCAACAGATTGAATCTATTCCAAGCCTTTTACCCTGGAACAGGCAAGAGGCTTTGTAACACCCCAAAAGTCTCTACAGGAACAACGTCAATTGTTGGTTTGGAGTTCATCACTTGGATCCCAGCTTCCAAGAGAGGGAAGCTGGCAAATGCAACAGAATCTTGTATGTCTGAGCAGATATTTAACAATTTGAAAAGGAAAAGTTCAAAAGCCAAATCAAGTGCAACTTTAAGTTCGAAATGTCTAAGGGAAGCACTTCCCACAACTTGTTGAGATACTACATTCAAACAGGTTAAACTACATAGATAATTAAAACTGGTTTTTGGGTTTTTTGTTGGTGGTGGTTTGTTTTTTTTTTAACTAGAGAACTTCATTTCTGGGCTGCAGATCTTCCTCTAAGGAAAATGGAAGGAAGACAAACATAAACTTCAATTTTGATTGGTTTTGTTTTTAAGTTGCAGAAAATAAAACCAGATTTACTTTCTATACTGAGAGAAGGCATCTCAAGCTGGAAGAGGGGGATAAAAACATTTAAGCAACAAACAACCCTTATTTTCATGTTTTAACATGCAATATAACCTGCACAGTATTTCAAAAATAGAGTAACATTACCTGATGAGTGGTTTTGTTCAAGAACTCCTTATGAGATTTAACTCTTCGTATTTCTGTATAATAGTAAGTCTGTGCATGCTCATAGAAAGCATTTTCCAACCTGCAACAAAGTTGCTTATAAGTTTCACTAAGTTTCTCCCACATGCAAAGAAATTCTGAAGTTTTTCAGAATAAGTTACTTTTAATCACGCTTAGTTTAGGGTTGACAAAGTAGCTTGAGGTATTACTAAACTCTTCTGTAAGTTACCACACAGGGTAAGAGACTGCAGATAAAAACTCTTCACACAAAACCTTACACAGGGGTAGCACAAAGTAGAATAAGTAGGTTCAAGAACTTTATATATTGGTATCTCATATAACAATCTCTAGTATTTAACATAAGAAAGTCTGAGGATAAGCTGTTCGGATTTTGCAAGGCAACAGAAAGCGGAGAGACACCTCAGTCAAAGCAAGAAAACCTTGCTGAAGGTCCTGAGAAGCTTGAATGGCTCAAGATGTTATTTGCTGCACTGGAGGGGGAAGAGTGGGAAAGAAAAAATAGCAGAAAATAAAGTAATGAGGGCACAGACTAGGTTTCATCATTCTGTCCAAACATCAACAGCTACCTGGTTTGCAGAGGTAACAGTCGAACCTGTGTTTGCAAGATAAATAGCCCAATGGCAAGACATCGGGGAGAAGAAAAAGACAAACGGGCTCAGAACACTGAATACAATATGAGGCTGAGGAGGATCTAAGAAGCATATGCTCTATGATCAAATTATTAGTAAAATCAACTAGAACAAGACCAGAATCCAGGAAAGGAATACATTCAATAGGACTGACAGACACAGAAAATCACATAATCCATTTGGTTGGAAGAGACCTCTGGGATCATCAAGGCCAACCTTTGCCCTAACACCACCACGGGGATGAAGGACCACTTCTGTGATTTAGCCAAGAAGGGATCACTGCAGACTGACTAAAGCAGATCACAACTTGTGTTCTGCTTGCCACACAACAGAGGATGGTGACGAAAACAATGGGACAGACCAATGGACAGCAATTGTTAACTGTGAGTTCAGTCACAACAGGAAGACAAGATAAATTAAGTCTGTCTATCATACTTATTTTAGCATTATACTGCAGCTGTATAAGAAAACACAAGCCAGTCCAGGGGTTAGAAAAAAAAAAATTGTTCTCTTTTAGTACTATGAAATCTCGATTTAAAAAGTCAAAACAAAAAGATTAATACAAGGAATTCTGACATGACTATATGCTCAAAGATTTTTTTTTTTTAAACTGTGTGAAGAGTTATTAATCCTTAATGATACAGCCTTATCTTCACAAACTTGGACACAGTTGCAAATCTCATATCAAAATGCAACTATATGCAGTTTGCAAAGGTTTACACTAGTTAACATGCAGTAAACATTCCCTCGTTAGCACTGAGTAAAATATGAAAAACTAGAAGTAATGGTTACTTCATTTTGATCAATTCTAATAGCTGTTTGAGAGCAGCATGGATATGATAACAAGCATTGATTTACATTGAGAACTTTACTGTTTATATATAAATACAAAGGGTGAGAGAAGGAAAAATTAGTCTCTCAGACCATGATCTCTCCTCTCCCTGAGCATATCTGGAAAAATTAAAATTAATTTTAATAAACCATGATTTGCCTTAGTTTGAGCCCTTCCTTTTAGGTCTATACAAGACTGTCTTCCTTTCCCTGTTCCGTTTTTGAAAAGCTTTCATAATTTATTTGAAGGTGTATTCCCTGTAAATATTAAAACAGAAAGCACAAGTAATGTTAAAAAGTACAGAGACATAATACTTGCAACCATATAAATGCCACTTAGCATAAATAGAAAGAGAGATAACTATATAGCCAGGAAGCCAGGGGAAAAAAGCAAAGACTTGCTAAGACAGAGTTACACCTAACAAAACATTTGTAGAAAATTATTTAGAACCAGCAGGGCTAAAACCACTGTAGAGGTAGAAAAGCCCACTTTGCCTCTACTTGACTTGAAGAAGGGAACGTCTTGGGATATCTAATAATGTTCCTTCAAAAGCAATGTCTCTCACAGTTGTTACTTGGCCTGACAGAGAAAGGGGAGCTGTGTGAAATTCATCAGGTTGCAGAATAACCTGAAGAATTCCAGCAAACAGATAAAATATTCACTGCTATTCTACAATGACTGTGCCACATAGCAGTCATCCCAATCTATCAACTCTCTCTTAACATCTCCATTAGAATCACAGAATCGTTTGCGTTGGAAAAGACCTTTAAGACCATCGAGTTCAACCATTAATCTAGCACTGCCAAGTGTACCGCTAAACCACATCCTCAAGTGCCACATCTACAGGTATTTTAAATACTTCCAGGGATGGTGACTCAACCACTTCCCTGGTCAGCCTGTTCCAATGCTTCACAAAACTTTCGATGACCAAATTCTTCCTAATATCCAATCTAAAGCTCCCCTGGTGCAACTTGAGGCCATTTCCTCTTGTCCCATCACTGGTTACTTGGGAGAAGACACTGACCCCCACCTGGCTACAACCTCCTTTCAGGTCGTTGTAGAGTGATCAGGTCTCCCCTCAGCCTTTTCTCCAGGCCAAATAATCCTAGTTCCCTCAGCTGCTCCTTGCAGGGTTTGTGCTCCAGACCCTTCACCAGCTTCATTGCCCTTCTCTGGACTCGCTCCAGCAGCTCAATGTCTTTCTTGTAGTGAGGGCCCCAGAACTGGACACAGTACTCGAGGTTCGGCCTCACCAGTGCCAAGTATAGGGGGACAATCACTGCCCTAGTCCTGCTGGCCACACTATTTCTGATACAAGTCAGGATGCCATTGGCCTTCTTGGCTACTGCTGGCTCATGTTCTGCCAGCTGTCAACCAGCACCCCCAGGTCTTTTTCCACTTGACTGCTTTCTAACCACTCTTCCTCCAGCCCGTAATGCTGCATGGGTACCATTGCATGAGGTTGTTGTGACTCAGGTGAAGGACCCGGTCCTTGGCCTTGTTGAGCCTCATACAGTTGGCCTCGGCCCATCGATCCAGCCTGTCCAGATCCCTCTGTAGACCCTTCCTGCTCTCCAGCAGATCAATACTCCCATCCAGTTTGGTGTCGTCTGCAAACTTACTGAGGGTGCACTCAATCCCCTAATCCAGATGATTGATAAAGATATTAAACAGAACTGGTCCCAATACTAAGCCCTGAGAACACCACTTGTGACTGGCCGCCAACTGGATTCACCACGACTCTTTGGGCCTGGCCATCCAGCCAGTTTTTTACCCAGCAAAGGGTATGCCCGTCCAAGCCATGAACAGCCAGTTTCTCCAGGAGAATGCTGTGGGAAACTGTGTCAAACTGTCTAGACAGACAACATCCACAGCCTTTCCCTCATCCATTAAGCAGGTCACCTTGTCATAGAAGGAGATCAGCTCAGTCAAGTAGGCCCTGCCTTTCATAAACCCATGCTGACTGGGCCTGATCACCTGGTTGTCCTGTACGTGCCATGTGATGACACTCAAAATTATCTGCTCCACAACCTTCCTCAGCACCGAGGTCAGGCTGAGAGGCCTGTAGTTCCCCGGATCCTCCTTCCGGTCCTTCTTGTAGATGGGCATCACATTTGCTAGCCTCCAGTCAACCGGGACCCCCTCGGTGAGCCAGGACTGCTGATAAATGATGGAAAGCGGCTCAGTGAGTACTTCCAGCAGCTCCCCCAGTACCATTGGGTGGGATCCCATCCTGTCCCATAGACTTGTGTGTGCCCAAGTTGTGTAGCAGGTTGCTGAACATTTCCCCTTGGATTATGGGGGTTTCATTCTGCTCCTCATCCCTGTCTTCCAGCTCAGGGGGCTGGGAGAACAACTGATCTTACTATTAAATACGGAGGCAAAGAAGGCATTAAGTACCTCAGCCTTTTCCTCACCCTCTGTCACTATGTTTCCCTCCGTATCCAATAAAATAGCTCTCCTTTTGTTGCTAATGTATTTACAGAAACTTTTTTTGTCTTTTATGGCAGTAGCCAGATTAAGTTCTAGTTGGGCTTTGGCTCTTCTAATTTTCTCCCTGCATAACCTCACGACATCTTTGCAGTCCTCCTGAGGTGCCTGCTCCTTCTTCCAAAGGTGATAAACTCTCCTTTTTTTCCTGAATTCCAGCCAAAGCTCTCTGTCCAGTCAGGCCGGTCTTCTTCCCACTAGCTTGTCTTTTGGCACATGGGGATGGCCTGCTCCTGTGCCTTTAAGATTTCCGTCCTGACGGATATTCAGCACGCCTGGACCCATTT